TTTAAATGAAATATGGAAGAAAAATTGTTAGCCTTCAGGAAATATCAGATTAGAATGCAACAAAGGAATTCCGCGCCGCGAGACGGCAGCTGAAATTCTGTGAATTACGTCTCATTGTCGGGATATGATTTAGCTATATGAAAAGCTGTTGTAATTGTCAAATTTGTGTTGACATTTGCTTGAAAATTTATAGTTTTCTCACCCAATGTTCTACGATTTCAAATGAATTTTACAAAAAATGATGACTGGGATGTGTTAATTCAGAGAGACATTGTGGTATAAATAGTATTACTTAACCATTACTAAGGTCGCGAAAGTACGTGTTGTTTCAGCACCACTAGTTTTGTTAAACTTCCTCCTCGGATAACGTAAAGAACGCATAACAGATTGGCGCATGTTTCATTTAAATTTAAACTTTTGTAATTTTTGAAAATTCGGAGTTAATAGTGAAAAGCATACTATACCATCTTTATAAGTGTGTTTCACCTTATTCTTACAAAAAATTTAAAGAATAAATATGAAACCATTTTTGAGAAAACTTTGAAACCATTTCTTAAAAATCTTTAAAAATGTCCCTGGTGCTGTATGTAAAGTACCCCCAAAATTAATAGGATTATTTTCAAAATCATAAGGTGTTGAGTCGGGCTAGATCAACCGGAAAAAAATCGTTTTGGAAACAATCCTACGAATTGTATAAGGGCTAGTGATGTTCACACATGGACGGACAGATGAACAGACGAACAGATTTTCTTATGGAAACACTTTTTCGGTATCAAGGGCCCCTTAAACATGTTTTTCCATTGAAATCTCAAAATCAATTTTCTGCAGCATTACATACCTTTCTCTAATTTATGTGTATTATACATGTATTCCGTATGCTTGTACTAAAACGATAAAGTAATAAAATTAAAAAACAGAATTACAAAAAAATGATTTTACCACGAAATGGAATTTACTCGCATCGTTAAATATTATAATGCCAAATGAGCACGATTGATATCGTGTGTGTGTGTGTGTGTGTGCGTGTGTGTGTGTGTATATATATATTTGCATTTTCTGCAAATAAATATGTGAATATTGAAGCCCAAATACATCTATATTTTTGACGTCCCCCAAGATCAACACTGGCTTGCTGCCTATTCTGCCAGAAAGTGTGCCCCTTCCCGGCAGAAAATTCACCGTACAACGTAAAAATGTAGGAAAATATAATTACATCTTGTCCCGTCCTGAGACCCGTCAGGAGCTGAGAGCTTGTCCCGGTTGGGGCGGTGGGAGATACCTGGTTGAAGAAAACCCCTCTAATCGACGGTAGTTCGGCGCCGTATCTCACCACACAGCGGGGGAAAGATCACAACCACTTTCCGAGCAAAAAACATGCATTACTCTAACGGAACTAATGACCCTGGTAGTTGACGTGCGCGGAATCACCAAACAATCAATAATTCGGAGCGTTGTTTCTGTGCACTTCTAATGCCATCGCAGTCACAACCATGCTTTTAGCGACAACGATGACAGCCTTCCTATTTTTTCTCCCCGTTTCATTGATATTTTTTTAAAAAGTGGTAATGAAGTAGCTCATAATGCACGTACACAAACGTCGCAAACATAGAGCACCCACACTATCTCTGGGGTCGCGAATGAATGTATTCAGACGCCGCAATTCGTGTGTCGTGAGAGCCCCAGGCGGCGTATTCGTACAGAAAATGTGCAGCCCGTGTCATCAGGACTTTTCACTTCAAGTTTAAGATCTTGATTCTGTTTGAGAATGTGCACCAAAACTGTTCCGTGTAAAAAGGCCTTTAGAGTTGGTATCTGAAGGAATCGATGTTCTCTTCAATCTTTGATATTGTCTTCACATCTCCGTCTCCTTTTACAAGATGAATGCTGTTTATATTTTTTTCTAGAATCATAACCTTTTTTTTATTATTTTATGTTAAATGCTTTAAATTTTCAATAATATTAAAATTCAATTTGGAAATTCCATCGCGACAGCATAGTGTTAAGATAGGTTAGAATGCAAGTTTACTAACACGGCTTCAAGTCCCAGTAGAAATGGTAGCTTTGTCTGCGAATATCCTATTTATAACGATACTGAGGTCCTCGCGGCCTACTTTAGGGAAGAGCGCCAGTAATTTCTGGCATAATTAACAGGAAGTTTGTGCTTGACACGCTCCTCCCCAATTTCGAAGCAGTCGTCAACGAAGGTCGTCCCGATTCTAGAACATGGAGCCTGGGAAGTGGAGCAGTGAATTCCGGAAAAGGCAAAATAATGTCCTAACATCCGCACGCGAAACAAGTTTGCCTGAAAGTACAAAATGTTCATAGCCTGAGTCTGAATAATTCCCAAAACATTAAGTTCGGACGAAACTTTCATAGTCGGTACATTAGGTTGCAACTGAATGTACGAGTACGTTATGTCGGAAATTAAATTAGGCAGAGAATTTTAAATATTTCCTTCTCATATAAGATTTAACACAACGAAACTTTCCATTTTTACACTGGATTCATATTTCCCGCTTTATTTCGGTGAACCATCCACTTTGCCTTCAGATCCAGAGATCTCGTGTGCCACATGCGCTATCTATGAGGGAATTTATTTACTTTTAGGATGGCGTTAAACGCGTACAGTAAGGCAACTAACGGCTAACATTTCCTGATTTCGACAATTACACATTGATGTATAATAAAAGACATTTGCTTGTGTAATACATTTGTATCTTTTTATTTGTAAGTATTCCTTTTCATATTTATTAGCTATTGTATTAGTAAAATCTGATTAAAGCGGAAACTTGGACAAATAACAATGTTCATATTTAAAATAAATGCAGTAAATAAAGTAACGTTGTTGTTGTTGAAGTTGTGTTGCAATCCTCACGCATTTCACGTTTTACTGTTATGTGTAAGTGGCTAGTGTGGGTTAGCGTCGGAGCTTAGTCAATAGCCAAATCGGCTTTTATGTTGCACTACGCCCTCAGAATGTCAAAAGTCTAGTCTTCTTTGTCTTATAGTGAGGACGTGTCGAGCTAATTGTTTTAGCGTTGCCGGAGCTTCCTTGATTTGAAAGGCTTGATAGGCTTCGTTACACGAAAGCCATTGAGTGAAGGACTGGATATCAATTTCCTTCCTCAGTACTTTCAACCGTTTCCGTAACGGAGGGCTTGCTATGAGCCGTTGAACTGTTGTACCACATCAAGTGTATCCTTGTACTTCTGTGCTATGATCCACTTACTTTGAGAAATGAAACTTTGAAAAAATGAATGAGAACTGTTGAGATAAGAACATGTTCTCGTTCATTTGCAGTTCGGGTCGTGGCCCGATTCAGACTTGTCGCGCGTTGGACCCACGTGCTTTAGCAACTCCATGTGGAGTTGCGTGTGGTGGCTGAACATGAGGTTTGACCTTAATGTGTATTCGTACGCTCTGACGAAGAAATTAAATATTTCGAAACGTTGGCATAACTAATTGTTTCTTTATCCATACTGGCCAATCCCGTGAACTAATTTTATTTCTCATCAATGGTCGTGATTTCTACAATCGTTGAGAAGTTTATTTTGTGTTCTAAAGAGTGTTCTTACATAGCTACACCAGATTGTCCATAGCTGATATTCTAAAAACAATGGCATGTAAAGCATATGGGAAGGCTACGCCCCTGTACACTGTGGCTACGCATGTTGACATCAGCTACGTAACGATTTTAAAATAGTTTCGCGATCAGGATCCTTTGGACCACGCCACGTATTCGCTACCACTGTCAAAGAAAATGTATATCTGTGATGTTCATCGATTTCAATGCAAAATGCCTGTAGGTGCTAACTTGGCGAGAGTCAGTCGAGAACGTTCAATCTTACTCGGTTCGAGGCGATGAATGTCTGAAGACCATTAACCTTTAATTATGAGTCTAATTGTGGTTCTACTGTCTTTAAGCACGTCATTAAAATTTAACATAAAAGAATCTTGTAACTTAAACACGCTTGTCACAATCTCTGGATGGCATTCTGACAATGAACTGTCATTTTGAAGGAAAATTTTCGTGTTCATGAACTCGTGAGGTTTCCACGTTCATTTCGACATTTTGTGTTTTTATTCAAGTACTTGTTTATTATAAAAGCCACTACATAATATGGCAAACAAACAGTACGAATAAAGAACACAACGCACCTTGATCATTCTATTCTTTCCTTGAAATTAGATACGCCTAGTTAGTATTTTAACTTGAGAATGTGTATTTGTTTTCTTTAATTTGTGAAAAAGATCCGACTTCACGATAAAGACGTTTCGTGCACGTGATGCTATGAAGATCACGGAATAGGTTATTTGCAATGAAATTCCATGGAAATATTGTTCGTCAATGTACGATCACGGTAACATGGTGGTTAATCTATGGTGGTAAGATGTAAGACAAATAAGCGTACAAAAACAATTAATCGATCAATTGCAGTTTACGTGTTCTCTCACAATCATCATTCGGTTCCTCAAAATCCTTTAGGAAACGTAAAGAAAATTCACAATCATTCTTTTAAGAGGATGAACATGGATGAATAGGTATTGTTCTATGGTATGAAGCTTGGATTGTTAAGTTGGCGAACATGATAAAAACATGACCAGTGGTGAGCCTGATAAAATACCAGCGTTCGACAATTATTATTTCTACTCGTGATATTCTTTGCGCTGTATGAAGATTACCAATACTGAGGAAGTGACATATCTACACTTTCGACGATATTTGACTACTGAATTGCCAACTTGGAAAAAGATGGTGTTATGTTGAATGTTAAAGTACTGTATAATGCTGTCTTTCGTTCGATATGTTACGTTTTACTACATCAATCTGTCATATTGCAACTGTCTCGAGTAAGCATGAAACGTGGAACCTCATTTGAAGATTACTTGAGATTTTTTAAAGTTCTTATATTCTTTCGTTTGATTACAGGTTTTGGTAAATTGAAACTTACTTGCGACTTCCAGGCCGAAGAATGAATATCTTATATCTTTAGACAACGATGCACAGGACCTCCACAACAAAAGAAATGTTTATCGTGCGAGCTTTAGAAAAAATTCTGAGTGACAAGGATATTAAACGATCTCACCACTCTCAGTTAAAACGCGCCTGTGAGGTAGCCTTAGATGAAATACGAATTGAACTGAAAGCTGGGGGTCATGAAGATCCCAATTCATCATCAGCATTGCCCCTACCGAAAAACGATGAAGCTAATATTATTACAGCCGAGAAGTATTTTCTTCCTTTTGAATTGGCTTGTCAAAGTAAGGCCTCCCGAATTGTTGTGACTGCCCTTGATTGTTTACAAAAGTTGATTGCATATGGACACTTGACAGGAAGCATCCCAGATTCAACAACCCCTGGAAAATATTTAATTGACAGAATTGTTGAAACAATTTGTGGTTGTTTTGGTGGGCCACAAACAGATGAAGGAGTTCAATTGCAAATTATCAAAGCATTGCTTACTGTAGTTACTAGTCAGCATGTTGAAGTTCATGAAGGGACTGTACTATTGGCAGTAAGAACATGTTACAATATATACCTTGCTAGCAGAAATTTGATAAATCAGACAACGGCCAGAGCTACTCTCACTCAAATGTTGAATGTAATTTTTTCTCGGATGGAAAGTCAAGCTGCTGATGAAGCTGTCAGAGTGAAAGTAACTTCAGAAAATGTTGAAAACAATGGATATGAAGTCAAACAATCTGATAATGATAATGGTGTGACCCTCGTACCTGGTCCAAAGAAATCTGGAGAGCCAATGCAGAATGATATTGAAGCAAGCTCTGGTGAACTGACGCATCAAGACATGGTACGTGGAATGTTGGATAAAATTGTTGATGAAGTTGTGCAGGGTTGTGAGGGGAAAAATAATGGAGGAGGTGATGTGACTGAAGTGCCTATACCAGCTGACACACAACTTGATGGTGGTAATGTGCCCGAGAAAGCTGGTTCTCCTGTCATCACTAGAGTTCCATCACAAGAGAGTATGGATGTTGGTAACGAAGCTGACACAGCAGTAACTGCTAAGTTTACTCATGTACTTCAAAAAGATGCATTTTTAGTTTTTCGAGCTTTGTGCAAGTTGTCAATGAAGCCTCTACCAGAAGGACAGCCTGATCCTAAGTCTCATGAGCTTCGATCCAAGATATTGTCTCTTCATCTATTGTTGTCTATATTACAAAATGCTGGCCCAGTTTTTCGTGCAAATGACATGTTTGTCACTGCTATCAAGCAGTATTTGTGTGTAGCACTTTCAAAAAATGGTGTTTCATCCGTCCCTGAAGTTTTTGAACTCTCCCTGGCAATATTTTTAGCTCTGTTGTCAAAATTTAAAATGCATTTGAAAATGCAAATAGAAGTGTTCTTTAAGGATATATTTCTTAATATTTTGGAAACATCAAGTTCTTCATTTGATCATAAGTGGATGGTGATACAAGCATTAACAAGAATATGTGCAGATGCCCAGAGTGTTGTAGATATTTATGTGAATTATGATTGTGATTTATCTGCAGCTAATCTTTTTGAAAGATTAGTAAATGATCTTTCAAAAATTGCCCAGGGGCGGCAAGCTCTAGAACTTGGTGCTACTCCAAATCAGGAGAAATCAATGAGAATTCGTGGATTAGAGTGCCTTGTATCAATCTTGAAGTGCATGGTGGAATGGAGTAAAGACCTGTATGTGAATCCTAACTCTCAAACAACACTTGGCTCTGAACATCAAAATAAAGAAACTGATAGTGAACCAGGTTCTGCAAAAGAAAGTGCCATTAAATCATATGGTAGCAGCAATAGTCTTAATTCAGGAAGCTCTGGACAAGGTAATCGTGAATTACCTGACACTCCTGAACAATTTGAAGTTTTAAAACACCAGAAAGAAATTTGGGAAACGGGTATTACTTTATTTAGTCGTAAACCAAGGAAAGGAGTTCAGTTTTTGCAAGAACAGCAGTTGTTGGGATTGTCACCAGCTGAAGTTGCAGAATGGTTACACAACGATGATCGATTAGATAAAACTGGCATTGGAGATTTTCTTGGAGAAAATGATGATTTTGCCAAGGAAATTATGTATGCTTATGTTGATCAAATGGACTTCAGCAGCAGAGATATTGTTTCTGCTCTACGTTACTTTCTAGAAGGTTTCCGGCTCCCTGGAGAAGCACAAAAGATTGACAGATTAATGGAGAAATTTGCCAGTCGTTATTGTGGATGTAATCCTAACAATGGTCTCTTTGCAAGTGCTGATACAGCATATGTTCTTGCTTACTCAGTTATTATGTTGACAACAGATCTTCATTCACCACAAGTGAAAAGCAAAATGACCAAAGAACAATACATCAAGTTAAATCGTGGAATTAGTGATAGTCAAGACCTACCTGAGGAATACCTTTCCAATATATATGATGAAATTGCAGGTCATGAAATCAAAATGAAAAGCACCATCAACAAACCTGGTAAACAAGTTATTTCAAGTGAGAAACGACGCAGATTCTTGTGGAATATGGAAATGGAAGCCATATCTACTACTGCAAAGAATTTAATGGAGTCTGTTAGTCATGTTCAGGCACCTTTCACATCAGCTAAACATTTAGAACATGTGCGGCCAATGTTTAAGATGGCATGGACTCCATTCCTAGCAGCATTTAGTGTTGGATTGCAAGACTGTGATGACCCAGAAATTGCTTCTTTGTGTTTGGATGGAATTCGTTGTGCTATCAGAATAGCATGTATTTTTCATATGAGTCTTGAAAGAGATGCTTATGTCCAAGCCTTAGCAAGATTTACCCTTTTGACTGCAAATTCACCTATTACTGAAATGAAAGCTAAAAACATAGATACAATTAAAACCCTAATAACTGTAGCTCATACTGATGGGAACTACTTAGGTGGTTCATGGCTAGATATTGTTAAATGTATCTCTCAGCTTGAATTAGCTCAGCTTGTTGGGACTGGCGTGAGGCCCCAATTTATTTCTGGGCCAAAGACCCACAGCAGTGATCATCAATATTTACACCATAGCGATCCACTTAAATTAAACCTTAGTTCCTTAGATCCAAGTGTGAAAGAATCTATTGGTAAAGCTAGTTCACAGAGTGTTGTGGTTGCTGTTGATAGGATTTTTACTGGTTCCACTCGTTTAGATGGTGATGCTATTGTTGATTTTGTTAATGCATTATGCCAGGTATCCGTGGATGAATTGGCTCACCCTGCTCATCCTCGCATGTTCAGTTTGCAGAAGATTGTTGAAATCTCGTATTATAACATGGGGCGCATTCGACTCCAGTGGTCTCGTATTTGGCAGGTATTGGGTGAACACTTCAATAAAGTAGGTTGTAATCCGAGTGAGGATATAGCTTTCTTTGCTGTTGATTCTTTAAGACAGTTGTCTATGAAATTTATTGAAAAGGGAGAATTTGCTAACTTCAGATTTCAGAAAGATTTCTTGCGACCCTTTGAGCATATCATGAAAAAGAATAGATCTCCAACTATTCGTGATATGGTTGTTCGTTGCATTGCTCAAATGGTAAATTCCCAAGCACCAAATATACGTTCTGGTTGGAAGAACATATTCAGTGTTTTTCATCTTGCAGCTTCAGATCACGATGAAGCAATAGTGGAACTTGCATTTCAAACTACTGGGAAAATTATAGTGGAACTATATGCCAAACATTTTCCAATAATGATTGATTCCTTCCAAGATTCAGTGAAATGTTTGTCTGAATTTGCTTGCAATGCCAGTTTTCCTGATACTAGTATGGAAGCTATTCGACTTATACTTCAGTGTGCTCAATATGTGGATGAGAAACCTCGGTTATTTTGTGATTTCAATATGGAAGATATCAATGTGCCTGAAGAAGATAGAGTATGGGTCCGTGGTTGGTTTCCATTATTATTTGAATTGTCTTGTATTGTGAGTCGATGTAAATTGGATGTTCGTACCAGAGGGCTTACTGTCTTGTTTGAAATAGTGAAGACATATGGAGAAACTTTTAAAGCACACTGGTGGAAAGATTTGTTCCAAGTCCTTTTTAGGATATTTGACAACATGAAACTTCCTGAACAACATTCGGAAAAGGCTGAATGGATGACTACTACTTGTAATCATGCGTTATATGCAATAATTGATGTGTTCACTCAGTATTTTGACATTTTGGGGCCACTGCTTCTGGAAGATTTATATACTCAGTTGCACTGGTGTGTTCAACAAGATAACGAGCAACTTGCCCGATCAGGTACTAATTGTTTGGAAAATCTTGTGAACTCCAATGGTCTCAAATTTACAGAAGCAACTTGGGATAAAACTTGCCAGTGCATGTTGGATATATTTAATTGCACCATACCAAATGCTCTTCTCAGTTGGAAACCGGAGGATAATACCAGTAAAGAAATGGATGTTGAAATATCATCTGGATCTGACAGCAAATTGTTTGCAGGGCTGCTCATTAAATGTGTAGTTCAAGTAGAATTGATACAAACAATTGACAATATTGTCTTTTTCCCAGCAACATCTCGTAAAGAAGATCAAGAAAATCTTGCTCTTGCCCAAGCTGATTTACTTCATGTTGAGACTGGACTGCTAGAGACTCAACGGGAAGAGCAAGGAATGTATCGTAATCTTAGCTCAAAACATCTTCTCCTTCTTACAGACTGCTTACTTCAATCTCATCGTTTTGCAAAAGCATTTAATTCAGATCATGAACAAAGAAACTTGCTGTGGAAAGCAGGCTTCAAGGGCAATGTAAAACCAAATCTTCTTAAGCAGGAAACACAAAGTTTAGCATGCGTTCTTCGCATTTTATTTAAAATGTATAGTGATGAGTCTCATCAAGGTGCTTGGAACACAATTCAACAGAGACTTATTGCAGTTTGTCGAGAAGCTCTGGAGTACTTTCTTTGCTTGCAGTCTGAGGCTCATCGTGAGGCATGGACCTGTTTACTACTTCTGGTTCTCACAAGGATTTTGAAAATGGACGATGAACGATTTGCTGTACATACTTCTAATTACTATCCACTTCTTTGTGAAATCATGTGTTTTGATCTAAAACCTGAGCTTCGGTCTGTTTTGCGGCGATTCTTTTTGCGAATTGGCCCAGTTTTCAACATAATTTCTGCGCGGCCAAGTGGTCTGTGATGTTGAAATGTGATGACAATATTGTTTATTTGCAAAACCAACAAGAAAAAACTGCTAATGTATAATGACTACTGCTATCACTATAATTATCTTATTATTGTTATTGTTATAGAAAGACCAAGGAGACAGAAAATGCCTTTCTTGGCAGTTCTTAAAAAAAATGTATACTAGTATATAATTGTATAATGTTAACTAATTAGTGCAGTTTTTCATTATTGTTACAGTATTTACTTTTTGTACACAGTGTAGAAAAACATGTCACAATTTAAGTATTGCAACATACAAAAAATACTTATATATAAGTAAAGAAATATTGAAATGAGTTGGGGGTTCTAAAATTTCTCCATTTGTTCCCATGTACAGTTTGTTCTTCTTTCTTATATAATGTAATGCATATACCCCTTTCTTAATATGCCAAAAAATATTAAAGAGCATAATCTACATGTGCATTGGCAATTATGTACAAGATGTGTACTTTGTGAAATAGAAGTGAAATAAATATTAAATGGAAAACTTTCAATGCAATCTGATAACTATTTATACTTGGTGCCAAGTCAAGACTCAAAAGCTTAAAGCATAAGGCAAGACAGAGATATTGGAGAAATATGAATGCTGTGTGTAACAACAATGTTGCTGAAAAATGAAATTTTCAATATTCAAGTGTTTTTAAGATATATCAGTCGTATCTAAATAAAAAGAAAATTGGTGTTGTTATAACAAAAATAAAAGTCATAAGTTATAGTGCCAGCTTTAGAAAAAAACTAGTCAAACATAAGACATGACATAATGAATTGAACAGGAGACACACCATATGAAAATATAACATAAAAGATGCCACATTAAGTGCAACAAGTGTATGCAAAAATTTTTATTTGTGTCCATGGAATTTTAATGTGCAATGTAACCAATGGAGGAAGAGAAACTAACTCAAAACCTTACCTTTGTTCTGTACAAAATCCACCAAGTTAGAAATTTTTTTTGTACGTCAGTTATTGCACATTAAACGTCTTCAAAAGATGTGTTATATTTATAATCTGATCACCATTAGCATTATCATCACCTCCAACTTTAATTTCTGATTTTCTATTTGATGCATTCTGCTTTAAATTTAGGTTTATTTATCCTTATTAACACATGATCAAAAATAAATTTTTAAAGTATAAAAATGTCTATGCTAATTTTCTAAAATGGTAATCTAAATCGTTTTATGTTACAAGGTTCTTTTTATTAATTTTGGAAATCAGAAAATGTTTTATCAAATTACTGGTCAGTAAATTTTTCATTTGTTGATTGTATTTAATTTTTCTTCTTTTTCTTCCCCCTTGTAGTCTCGAACATGAGTGTTATCAGCACCAAATTATGGGGTGGGGGATTCGGTACGTAACGTACATATTATAGGGAGGCCCTCCAATATACCCATACCCAAAAAAAGTATTGGGGAGGAAGGGATGTGTTTTCCCCAGCAGTGTCTTGAAGGTAATTTGGTGCTAGTAGTTATAAGACCGAATGTTAAAACAAAATCATTATTTCACCAAGGGGATCTCTTGTAATGTCTTGTAATCTTCTTGCTTCTTTTGTGCAGTCCATGCGGGTGTCCATTTGTGGTGTCCATGCTTCTTTTGTGCAGATAGTATATTATTTTGTAAGTTATAATTATTGTCATCATACACTTTACTGGGACAATATAATAGTTATTTTGTGTTTGTAACATTGGCTTATATATTTGATTGTTGATCTAGTAAAATGTACTGCATTGTTTTCATTTATTTTATATCAGTATATTTAGATTATCCAAACTTGCATCAAATTACATTCAATCTCTCTCTTTTTTTTCTCCTTAGTTTGAAAGTGGGCACAATTCTTTAGTGCACAATATTTTTGTATTTCTGTATAATAAATGATTTTGAGTTAGAGTGAGCAAGAACGTTGTTAAGATTATCAATATCTAAGGTTTTTGTCTGTAATTTGAAGTTATTTTTTATTGATTTCCAAAGGATTTCTCACTTCTCTATAATTACTTAAAATATTCAGAGCATTTAGGAAGGTAAATTATTTGTTGCCTCTTCATTTTGTTTGTGCTCTCTGGCTAATACACTAATCTGCAGGTTTCTAAAGTACATATTTTTTAAAGAAGAAACACGTATTTTAAAATTCAGAAGGATTTTGAAGAATTGGTATGGAAATTTATTTGGTATTTGGAATTTTATTTAATTGTTATGGAATCTTTTTTTCTCTTCTCGTCTTTCAGGTTTTTTATACTTTCCTTTTTTGTGACTGAGCAAAACTTCCATTTCTAACTTCTTTCATTTCTTGAAAAGTGTGGTGGTGGTGGTAGTGATAATATTGGAGAAATCGGCAAAGCTCTGTAATTATGTTTATTATTCCATTTCTTATTTATAAGAGTATTTTGGTTAAAAGCTTAGAATATAAAAATAAACTATTCGAAGAGTTGAGTTCTCTTAGAAGTTATGTTGCACATGCTTCATGAATCAGAAAAGGATATTGCAAGAAGAAAGCTTGCATGTTTCTTAGTGATATTTGGCACTTACATGAGTAATAGAACACTCCCTTTTAAAAATTGTATAGCTAATAGTACTTACAAGAAACATATAAATAATGAATATACCAGAACTTCATAATTTTTATGTTGACAGCATGACACAGCTGACATAGATAATAAAATAGAATTTCCTTTCTTTGATTCAAGATATTAATTATATGGAAGAAAAGGAAGCCTATAAAATGTTGTTTCCATTTTATTTATATTTATTTATAAAACTATGTAGTAGAAATGAAAAATATATATTTGTATTTATACATTGATTTCTATATTTCTACCACTGTATTCCTTTAAATTCCTGTTTAGAAACCTGATCTTGCTTTGTCAAATACAAACCTAGTAACATTCCGATTAGAAAGTTAAACTTGTTAAGATATCTCTGAAGGAAGAAATATTTTTAAAGTCGTGCAGTAAATAATATATGTGATTCCATCCATATGTGTGAAGTTCTATCCAATTTTTGTTAGGCTACTTAAATTGGATGGAACTTATCATATTCAATGGTCAGTGAGCAATGTCATTTAGAAATACGCATTTATTGATTATTTCCTTTCCCTGTATTCACAAAAGAATGATGTGAGTTGATTTGATAAGGGTTGTATGTTTTTTGTGCATGTGTAATAGAAATATTAATAATTAGGGTTTCTCATAATGATTACAGGTTTACACAACAAATTGTTGCCATCATTATGGTCAAAGATTAAACAATTATTACATGATCTATTAATTTTTAATCTTGCTTGAGAATCACTCTGCTGAAATTGAAGCAGAAAAACTGAGAAATTGGCATCTGGCAATTGGTGGGCATCTTGACATTTTAGAGAGTTATTTGAACACAGTTTGACAAGTAGTAATTTTTGTGCAAAGTTGCCTGTTCTATGAAGAAGTGCTTTTGTTTTTAAGCTCCTTAATGCCAGACATAGAAATTCCAATGAAGTTAAAAAATATTCTGTATCCTGTTATTCATTCTGATTAAAATGATATCTGTTTTTTAATTTGTTCAGCTAGTATTAAATATTGATATTTCACTAATTAGCATCAAAGAAGTTCTATTTCATTAACATGTTATAAAACAAAAACACTATTGGCAAATGTCTATCATTTCATTAGGAAATATCAGGATCTATTAGGCATTTTAAATAGCATTTGTTAAATTTTAAAGTAAAGGCAACTGCTTAAAATTTGTTGGCAGTTTTGTGGAAGTGCAAAGTTTTATAGGAGCCCTGCAGTCATTCCAAGACCCTGAGGCAGAGACAAAAGGCAGCAGTTTTTCTGTGCAAGCTGAGGATCAATGCTCAAGTCTGTCAAACTAGTCAGAGTAGTGGCAAATGCTCCTATTTTCATGACGAAAATGTATCGTATAAAAAGTAAACTACCCACAGTAAGTATGTGAAGTTTATTGATACTTACCAAAGACACCTATTACTGAATTTTGGCAGTAACTATGTGAAATACCTTGCATTGCTGTAGTATTTATCAGTCTCAATCTTCTGTTCATTATTAAAAGGAATTCAATGTTTTCTGAATGCCCTTTTACCCTTCTCTGTAGAGTCCTCCCCTGACCCTTACCTGTCTTACCCTAAACAGTCCTGCTCAGCTCCACCTCGGCCCTGCCTTCCATGTTTGCTTCAATCATCTCTGAATGGGCAGCTGTTATCAGATGTGTTTTTGTAATTTTTAAAAAATACAAAAGAATAGAGCAATATGGCTTTTATGTTTGTTGGCATTGAAAGAAATGTACATGACATTAATGAAAGAAGTAGATATGGAGAACAAATTTCATTTGAGGGAAAAATCTCAATCTTCAATTTTATAGTTTTAGAGCCTCGCTGAAAGAAATTCTAAGTTTTGCAATAATCGAAAATTCAGAGCAACTAGCAAAAATCTTACCTATGCCACATTTATAAGCATATTTTACTCTATTACAAGAAATTTAAAGAAAAACTTTAGAGCCATTTTTGAGAAATTTGTATTCATACACTTTTGCACCACCAATTTTTGTTTTAAAAAAACTTCATTTGAAAGCACTTTATCTCACAAACAAAATGGTGTTAACAAATTGCTGTAAATGTGCATATTAACGTCGTGAGAAAACTTCCAAAACTACTACATTTGTGTAATTTTTGAAAAAACAAAAAGTACCCAGAAGTGAACAATACGTCATATTAAAGAGAGCAATTAGCACTTGCTTTCAAAAACTTAGAAAAAAATTGGAGTCATTTTCAGAAAATGGAGTTTGAGCTACTTTGACAGAAAACGGTTGATTTTTCAAGGAGCTTATTATTTAAAGCACATGTATTTATTTTTCATACATATACTATATATATATATTATATATATATATATATATATATATATAATAATATATATATATATAAAATTAAATTGTTGTCATTTAAAAAAAACAAAAGAATAGAGCAGTATGACCTTTATGTCAACT